CTAACTTTACGTTACCCCCGTATACTAACTTTACGTTACCCTCTATACAATATTTAACTCTACCCCTATACTATTACGTTATCCTCTATACTAACTTTACGTTATACCCCTTATACTAACTTTAGTCTACCCATTATACTAGCCTTACTGCAACCTGTATGCTATAGCTTTACTCAACCCTCTATACCAGGTTTACTCAACCCTCTATACCAGCTTTGCTCAACCCTCTATACCAGCTTTGCTCAACCCTCTATAGTCTATACCAGCCTTTACTCAACCTCTATACCAGGTTTACTCAACCCTCTATACCAGCTTTGCTCAACCTCTATACAGCTTTGCTCAACCTCTATACCAGCTTTACTCTCTATACTAGATTTACTATCTACACTGGCCTTTAATCTACTCGCTTTACTAGACTGGCTTCGTGCTCCCTACAATCGTGCGAAACGTACAAACGTGATAATCCCGGCCTCGCTGCACAGAACGCTTGAGTAGTAGTTACAGCGAGCACCTGCGATGTCGCCCCGGCCCCAACGCACGCACGCATCCGCTCGCGCACGCACGCACGCACGCATCGCTTCGCGCACGCACGCACGCCACACACGCATCACTCGCGCACGCACGCACCGCACGCACGCACGCACGCACGCACGCACGCAACGCACGCCATCACTCGCGCACGCACGCACGCACGCGTCAATCGCGCACGCACGCCACGCCACGCACGCATCGCGCAGCGCACGCCCACGCACGCCACGCGCATCACTCGCGCACGCACGCAGCAACACGCACCACGCATCGCGCACGCACGCCACGCCATCGCCTCCGGCACGCACGCACGCACGCATCACTCGCGCACCACGCACGACTCACGCACGCACGCATCGCGCACGCACGCACGCATCACTCGCGCACGCACGCACGCGTCAATCGCGCACGCACGCACGGCACGCGTCACTCGCGCACGCACGCACGCACGCATCACTTCGCGCACGCACGCACGCACGCCACTCACGCACGCACGCATCGCGCACGCCACGCACGCAATCGCTCGCGCACGCACGCCACGCACGCACGCGTCAATCGCTACGCACGCACGCGTCAATCGCGTACGCACGCACGCCATCACTCGCGCACGCACGCACGCATCGCTCGCGCACGCACGCGTCACTCGCGCACGCACGCAGCGCGGCAGCGGACGCGCTGCAACAACATAGCGAGCCTCCTTGTCATTACGTGTCGGCTGGGTCGTAGTTCCAGCGCCCGGCGGTGCACGTTCAGTGGCTGGTGTGCGAGGCTAGGCAAACATCGATGCCACAAATAGCACATCCTGCTTGCGGAGAGACACCGACAGGTCAGCCGCAAGTAAACAGTAAAGTGATCTCTTACTCCCTCCTATCTATGCCGGGATTCTCGACAACCAGATAAGCCAGCGGCTAGACTGACACTGCTTGCCAACGGGAGAGAGTTCCGGCCGAGTCTACACCGACGTGCGAAAGCTTGCTACGATGGCTCGCGCCTCACTAATGATATACTACTGTGTACATTACAGAATCTTTACGCCTCGGACAGTTGAAAAGTACTAAATAATATGAAGCCTGACAAACTACACACGAATGCTTCTCCGCACGGAGTTGTAGATTAGCAATGGATGAACGTGTTGTGTACACTACCGTATCTACTCGAATTATATATGTATATATATATATATATATATATATATCTCCCTCCGTCTCCCCTTCTCTCTATCGTACACATATATATATATTATATATCTATATATATAATATATATATATATATATATATATATAGAGAGAGAGAGAGAGCGAGAGAGAGAGAGAGAGGAGAGAGAGGGAGAAAGAAAGCGAAAGCGAGCCTGAGAGGGGCGAGATAGCTAGATAAAGCGACAGACAGACTGATAAAACGACAGACAGACGAAGGGATAGGCGTGAGCGAGCGATGGACAGACGGACGGACACACAAGATGGCATGATAAGAGAGACGAGATATTATTATATATACATACATATAATATATTATTATATATATATAGTATAATATATAGAGAGAGAGAGAGAGAGAAGAGAGACAGAGAGCGAAGAGAGGGGGGGGAGATAGGATAAGATAGTGAATCTTTTTATTGTAAGAATATATAGATATCGGCGTATCTATCTCATCTATTCTATATA